GTGCTTTCTCGCTGAGGCTGCCAGCAAGACTGAACGGCTGCCCACAGCAGTCACCGCACCCCATCAGCCCCTCTGCTGGCTTCCTCTCCTTTCTGACCTCCCTAGGATTGCAAATATTGTCTCCTAAATACAGGGCTTTCATTTATATCACTCTTTCAGGTTCTCATTCTGGGCAATCCAGCGTAAGCTAGTCCCAACTAACCCAGCCAAAGAAGGAAGCCTCTTCCACTTCTGTTCTATTCCTGTTTCTGGAGCGCCCACCATGTACCAGGACACACAGGTACAATCCTTGCCTGCAGCTGGTAAATATACTAAGATCTGAAGCAGTCTGACTCTGCTGTAGAGGGGGACATCTGAGGCTTTGAAGGATGAACAGGAGTTCACCATGTAGACACAGGGAAGATGGAGACAGTATATTTAAAAATCTACAGGCCATCACTTCCAGGAAACCAGTAGTAGTTGAGTGTTTCTCGTGTTGCCAAAGAATGAGATGCGTCTTTGTGTTGGTTTGTAGGGAGAACGTGGAGAGAGCTAGTACAATATGAGATGTGGGTAAAGGGACAGGCAGAATCTTGCCCATGCTGCCAAAGGGGTTTAGATAATATCTCGGGAGATGGGAGGATTTTGAGAAATGGTGGGTTTTCTTTTTCTGATTGTCTAAACACCAAGTGCTCGTCAAGTACAGCAGCGTTGGTAAAGAGATGTGCAAAACAGAAACACCTGAAGCCCTGGGTGAGTCCCATCACACCGATGTCTTGGTCAGTGCCTTGCACGAGAGTTTCAGGCAGGAGTGAGGTGGGCAGACTGGGGTTTTAGAAAGATCTCTGGCAGCTAGGGAAGAGCATGTGTTTGGAAAGCTACTGGACATGGGTCATGGAGTAGGGTGATGGAGCAGTAAAAAGCGATGGCGACTGTCAGTGGAAGGTGGTGACCGTGGCCGACTGGGTGTGTCAGTCCTGGGACACCAGAGAAACAAATTCATAGACACTCATATGTGTATAAGAAAGAGCTTTATATACAAAAGCAATTGAATATTGAGAAAACATTCCAGCCCAGTCAAGATCAAGGCTATAAGTCCAACATTAGCCCATGTGTCCAATACCATTCTATAAATTCCTCTTTAGATTCACGCAACATGTGCAATGACGCTGAATACAGGAAGATCACAGGCCAGTGGATGGAAAGTCTTATGGGTCCAGTGGTGGTGGAAGCATCTCAGCTCTGGCATGGGGCTCCATGGGGCTCCAGGCTCTAACTGCATTAGCATAGCTCCATTAGGTTCATCTTCGGTAATGTCTTGCAGGGAGTATGTGTGTGTCTGGCCTCCAGTGAGCTATTTATCTCCTTAGCGCCTTCAAATGAGGTCATCAAGCTGTGACCTGATTGACAGGCTAAACTCCACCCTTTCACTCTTAAGTCTCAAATTGACAACCGCTATGTAACTACCAGAGTGGGCTTTGGAGGGGCGCGGTTGGGTATCACTGAGTCAATCCCATTTCATGGTGACGCTATGTGTGTTGGAGGGAAAGGTACTCCCTGGGATTTTCAATGGTGGTTGTGCAGAAGGAGATCACCACACCTTTACTTCAAGTTGCTCCTGGGACTTGACCCTCCAAATGTTAGGCTAGATGCTGAGCTAGGACTCCAGAGGAGGCAGATGAGGCAGGATCTTCAGGACCTCGTAACCAGATAGATAGGGGTGCAGTAGAGGAGAGAAGGGGAACATGACAACCCAAGAGGCTCTGAGGGTATGTGCCCAGAAGGTGGTGGAAGAGGCAAGACTTGGAAGCCAGGGTACCTACATTCTCAATTCCACTCTGTCACTTCCAACCTGCAGTCCCAAGACACAGTCCCTGAGAGCCACAGTTCCGTGACCTGAAAATGGAAAGATGATTCCATTACTGCTTTTTTTGGGTGGGTGGGGGGGAGTTGTGATGAAGATGGAAACCTATAATCATTCTCTGACTTTCTTCTGCCTTCAAGCAGGTCCCGGGGGGCCAGGATAACCTAACCAAACTCACTGCTATCAAGACAATGCTGACTCATCGTAACCCCTGTGGGTTTCCGAGACTGGAACTGTCTGCAGAAGTAGAAAGATCAGCCTTTCTCCTGCGGAGTTGCTGGTGGGTTTGAACTGCTGACCCTGTGGATTGTAGCCCAGTTTGAAACCACTCCACCACCAACGCTCTAACTCTTTCTCTGGGGTTCTCTTCTACTCCCCTCTCTGCATCCTTCCCAGAGGAGAGCAGATGCTAACAGGATACAGAACAGATAAGGGAGCTGCCGGCACAGAGCTCATAGTCACCCAAATCAAGAAACCAAACTCATTGCTCCTCAGTCAACTCCGACTGGTGACCCTGTAGGACAGAGTAGAACCATCCCTGTGGGTTTCTGAGACTAACTCTCTGAGGGAGTAGAAAGCCTCATCTCTCTCCCCTGGAGCAGCTGGTGGTTTCAAACTGTCGACCTTGTGCATCATAACCCAACACATAACTACTACACCACCAGTGGTGCATAGTTCACCCAAGGGGGAGACCTAATAAACCAATCAAACAAAAGTGGAAAGAAAATAAATTTAGATAGAATGGAATTAATGGAATTTAATGGAATTTAAAAAGGCGATGTGTATTTTAAATGGATGTGATCAGAAAGGGATTTGCTTTTGTTTTTTTTTTTTAAGATAATCACTGAACGGAGAGCTGAACAACTCAGACAGCAGGAACAGCACATGCTAAAGTCCTGGGGTAGGTTTGAGGTTGGAATGTTAAAGCCTCTTCAAACGCCTCCTCATCCCACTGCAGTGTTCTCATCTCCAAGAAGCCTTTCTTCCCCAGGAATTGCAGCTCCACTCACCTCTCACACCCGGACAGTCACAGCTGGTGCTGACCATACCGATCACCAAGGGGATCTCTACCCACAAGGCCAGGAGTTGCTTGGAGGGGAGAACAATTCCCATCGCTCCAGTAGGCTGGGGGGCGGGGAAGGGGAGTGAGCACAGCTGTCTGAGTCAACAGATGAATGCTTGAGTGAAGGAGCGAACACTGCTGGTAGGGAGGGAGGGGTACGTGTCAGGTGCTGCCGAGTCGGTTCTGACTCATAGCTACCTGTGAACAGCAGAATGACACACCCGGTCTCCTGTGTCGCTGGAGTTTGCTGCTGCAGCCACAGTGTCATTCCACCTCCTTGAGGGCCTTTCTCTGTCTTTAGCGGACCCTCTAGTTTATCAAGCACGATGTCATTCTCCAGGGACTACGGGCCCCTTCTTAGCACATGTGCAGAGTAGGTAAAGTCTGGTCATCCTCAAAGGTTTCCAAGGAGATGCTGCCTGTACTTCTTCCAAGAGAGGGTTGTTCCTTCCGGCAGTCCATGGGCTAGTCAATGAATACCAGGCCCACGTGGTTCAGCCGATACTTGCTTACATGTGAACCTTTTCAGTTCCCTGCCCATTGTCAGACTCCAGACCGCCCTCTCCTTCCACACAGGACCTCCGAACCCCTTACCCAGTGGCTCCTTTCCCCATGGGCTTACCCCCTTCTCACAGACCACGGGTTCTTGTCTCCCAAGACTTCCCTGTCTCACTGACAGCATACCGTCTCCAGGAAGACAAGGGTCTTTGAACGCTTAGCCCACCCATGTAGTCAAGAGCCTGCAACACTGCCTGGTGCTTAGCAAGCACATAGATGGGGGGGTAAAGTACGGACCAATTTCTCCATTCTTAGTCTCATGGGACAGAGGTCACAGCCACTAATGCCCAACGCTCATATCTGTGACAGGGAGGTAGGAGTTCAATGCTTGGGTCGTGACCATTTAACACCCCAGCTAGTTGAACAAGATTCACCTATGGACACAGCTAGTCACCAGCCTGGAGTCCTGGGCCCTGGGCATAACATCCCCATTTCGTTGATGTAGAAATTCTGACCAGGGAGCTTAAGTAACTAGCTGCGGATGGCAAAGCCCTTGCTGCGCCAAGCCTCCGCTTCTAGCGGGCCCTTCCTGTCTCCCTCAGCCGAGGTTCAGACCCCACTTCTGGGAGTTTCTTGGCAGTCTTCTTGTTCCTTGCCTGGCTGGCGATGGAAAGGGCGTGCCTGGGTCCTGCCAGGAGCCCGGAGAGGGGCTCCGGTCCCTCCCCGAGCCCGTGCCACGCCCCCGCCCCTACCCATCCTCGGCCGCGCTGTCAGTCTCCATTAGAGCTAACAGGGTCCAGACGGAGCGGGCCGCGCGCTGGGCTAATGCAATAGGTGCGTTACCCCAGGCGCAGACTACATTACTAGCCCGGCCCTACCGGCGCGGCCAAAGCCAGCCAGCCCGCGCCCCCTCCGGCCGCCCCGCGCCTCCAGTGCTCTTCGGGGCCGCGCTCGGGCGCCACCCCTAGAAGCCGGGTCCCAGTCTGCGCCCCAGAGCTTGCAGAAGTGCGGCTGGCCCGGGGCAGGGAGGGCGCAGCACCCCCAGGAAGGCCCTCGCTGCAGGACAGGTGAGTGCGCCGTGGGCGCGCCACGGTGCCAGGGAGGCCAAGGCGCAGCCGCACCCAGCAGAGAGCTGGCGTGGTGGAACCGTGGATGTGTGAGGCTCCCGGGGGCGGTCGAGGGGCGCACAGGCCCCGGACGGGCGCTGCAGACCAGATGAACCCTGCCTTTGCTCTCTCCCTCCCCCGCCCCCACGCCCCTGGGAAGCCCTGGCTTCGGTGAGTCCAAACCCCGCCATTTGGGGGCGGGAGAGAGCGGGGAAGTGAGAGCTCGGCGGGCGCCCAGACCCGAGGTCTCTTTGTGCCTTTGGTCCGCGTCGGGCGGACAGCAAACTCCATTACCAAACATTTCAAAGAGACGCGCGCCTTTTCTGGAAACTGTGAATCAGTTCCACGCGCGCGGTGCCCAGTGTGCCTGGCGCTTCCCGGGAGGGTTCTGGAGCGCCAGCCGGACGCAGTGGACCGCCTCTGTTTCCTTTGCTTTAGGCAGAGTTTGAGTGCCTCCAGTGCTGCTCACATCCCGCCACCAACCGCACCCATGCTTCTGGCGCGGATGAACCCGCAGGTGCAGCCCGAGAGCAGCGAGGCAGATGCGGGGCCCAAGCAGCCCCTGCAGGCGCGCAAAGCCTTGGAGCTGGTGGTGGTGAAGGAGCGCAACGGCGTCCAATGCGTCCTGGCGCCCCTCGGGGGCGATGCGCAGCCCAGGGAGACCTGGGGCAAGAAGATCGACTTCCTGCTGTCGGTGATCGGCTTCGCGGTAGACCTAGCCAATGTGTGGCGCTTCCCCTACCTCTGCTACAAGAACGGTGGAGGTGAGCGAGCGCCGGGGTGGGGTCGGGGTAGGGGATTTGCACGCGGGCAGGGAGAAGAACTGGGGCGTACGGGGGAGGGAACAGGAGGCACCCACTCAAGTCAGAGGCACTGAAAGAGACGGCAGTGGGCTCACGGAAACAAGTTCCCAGGGCAGAACGGAGATAGGGCAGAGCTAGGTGCCAGAGATGAAGGACTAAATGGGAACCACTAAGCTGGGTGAGGAATGCCGCACGGTCCCGTCTGCAAGAAGGGAGGCAAGATTTGAAGGGGCACCAGCAATACTCGGGCCTGGACATGACAGTCAGGGACATGGGGACTCTGAGTCCAGCACTCTGGACCTTGGGTAGGAGGGGAGAGAAAACTTGGGGTCTTGAAGGGGCCCGGAGAGCTCTGTAGCACTGGCACCAGCCACTTAGGGACAGAGACACTTAGGGACAGAGGACAGAGGACATCCCTATCCAGAGGACACTTTTGTCCACGGAGGAGCTACTTGAAATTGGGTCCTTAGGTACCAGGAGCTGGCTGGGTCCTTCAGGTGGGTGGCCTCAGTGGTGGGGTGATGCCTTCACCTGGCCAGGTGGTATCCACATGGCAGGATGGGCTGGAAGAGGGGCAAAGAGCCTGCTGGACTTGACCCTGCTGTGATGGGGCCCCAGATGATTCACCTGCCCTGGGATGAGAGTCGAGATCAGCACACTTCAGTCACACCTGGGAAGGCAGCCCAGGGGTCCCAGCATATGGGGGTCTGGGACAAGCTGCTTCCCAGGGGCGCCCAAAGCACCCAGTCTTGTTACCTTTGCTGAGATGAATCCAGCAGGGCCTTTGGAGAGCCCGGGACAATGACTTTTTGGAGAAAGGGGGTGGAGAAGGGGCCTCAGCTCTGGAAACCCCCTCATCCCCATCCCCGTGCCTTGACTCCTGGCAGTGATCACAATGCCAGGCTCCAGAGAAGTCAGAGGGAAGAAGGGAGGGAGAGAGCTAGAGAGTGGGGGTCTGAAGCTGAGAAAGGGAGTGTGGATGAGCTGGGCCAGGGAGCCTGCGCCGTTGCCCATCCGTCCGTGCTCCAGACACTTGCTTGGGGGTGGACACTGCCTGGTGTTTGCACAGGGAGGAGGTGGCTATGAGAAGAGGGTGCCGGGGAAGGCACGGAAGCGGTTAGCTCGCCCTCTGAGAATGCCAGTCCTCTGGGGTTCTGAGCCCACGGATGAGGGCTTGTGTGCATGCGCTGGGCACCCCCTCCAATCAGGATGTTTGCTATAAGCTATTCGGAGACAAGGCCGAGTCTGGGCCGGGGCTGAACCTTGCAGGCCCTTCCTCATCCGAAGCCCAGGAAGAGTGCAGGCAAGGAGAAGGAGAGAAACTCCTTTGGGCTCCAGGGGTGAGATGCTGCCCTTCTGCAGCTTCTCAAGGGTTTCTGGTCATATTGCAACATCCTGGGCTGCAGCCCTTTGGACCTGAGGAGGGAGGAAATGCAGATCCCACCGATTTTGAACGGGCAGGAAGATGATGAAGGACAGACCGACAAGAGACCCTAAGATGCACCCTCCAGCATGCCCTTAGCAACCACCTCAGACAGCCAAGCACAGTCTTTGTTCATCAGCATTGCATTTTTGGACCCCTCCCTCTCTTTGTGAGAGACCCAGCTAGGCTCTGCAGCATTAGCAAGATGCACGACCAGGAGTGTGAATCACTTCCAGGTCGCATTGGCATGCTGCCACAAGTCCCTCCCATTGTTAGAAGTGTTTGCTGAAGCTGAAAGCACCCCAGGTGGCCAATGTCCTGGGACTCACACCACCATGAGCTCGGCAGCTTGGTCCCAGGTCCCAGGGGCTTCGTGATGCTGCTGGAAGGCCCCGCCTAGACTCCTAGGTCCACACACAGCTCACACCAGCAGTTCCTCCACTTGTTTCATTGCACGCCTGTCTGCCCCAAAGTGAGGCGTTTGGAAGGCAGACATTGGCCTGTTCCTCCCTGCGTGTCTACTGCCGAGGAGAAAGCCTGGCAAACAGACTCCTATTGACTGAAAGAATGAAGTGGTCTCAACCCCCCAAGATCTGATGCCATATCTGGACACCATAGCATCAGCACCTGTGGCAATTAGTGAAGCCGACGGCTCTTACTGTGGTGGTGGTGGGCGTAGGGGGATGACTAGGTCGAGGTTAGGAGACGAGGCCCTGGATTTCAGCTCCTAGCCGGGTGACTTTGGGCAGCTTTCTGAGTCTCTTGGTAATGCTGTCAGACTTGGAGGGCTATTGTAAATCTCACAGTGATGATGCCCATGCCAGACCCAGAGGCTGGTCCGAGGGAGCCTTGTGACCACATCACGATGATGGTGCGTGCAAAGGATGGAAGAGGCAACCTCTTCCGACTGTCTGAAGAGGGGCTCGTTAGGGAGGATCTGGTGGGAGGCTGCTGGTGGTTGGAACAAGCTCCTTGGAAGAGAAGGACAGGGACAAGTGGAGGGGAAGGAAAAGATGGCCCCATCCTGCCCAGGGCACCAGGAAACATGTGGTGAGCTGGGAGAGACAGGAGCGGAACGTCAAAGTTAAGCTGGATGGCAGGGTGGGGATGTTACCTGAGTGAGTTTCCTTTTCTGACCCGGAGTCTCAAGGGTGGTGTGATTCAGGGTGGGGTGTGCAACCCCATCTCAGGGTAGGAGGCACTTCCCTTTCTACCCCATCCCTCACCCTCCCATGTGATCCTCTGTTGGTCCCCTCTGGGCTGTATCTCTTCTGTTGTTCCTGGCCACTTGCTATGGATCAGCTGTCCTTAGCGGTTCTGAAATGAGTCCCAGAAGTGGGCAAGCAGGCATGCAGACAGGCCTGCTACAATTGGGGAAGCAGTCAAAAGACCCAGGTTCGAATCCCAGCCCTGCTGTCATAGTAGGACACTGGGCACAGCACAGCGCCCTGCCCTGGCTGGATGTGAGCTTAGATGACCTGCAGACCCATCTCTCTCTGACGAGAGAGCTGGTTCCATGTCACCCGAGAGCCAGGCCTGCCTGCCCTGTTATTTAACACACCCTGCTTCGTGTGCCCCTCTGGTGCCAGAAGTAACGTGGCAAACGTCTCCCAGTCTGGCTGTTTGCACTGGCCAAGGCTGGAGGGTGTTTTGAATCAACGGAGATGCCAATAGTTGGGGCCACTGGCTAATATTTTCTGAATGAATTACAGGGGAAGATCAGCCTGCCTGAACACCTTCCCGAAGCTAGCTACCCAGCTGCGTGGGCCAGGGCAAAGTCACACGCTCTTAGGGCGTTGCTAAGAACTTTCTCAAGCCATGTGCGTTAGTGGGGAGTCAGTACCAGGTGCTCGGGCTGTGCCCAGGTTCGTAGAGTTTTTCCTCTGCCTCTGCTTCTGGTTCATAGTGAGACGTGACAGGTTGACAGGGAAGAGAGGCCGGTGGGGATGCTTACTTGTCGATGACTACTTTGCTGTGAGACACGCCTGCTTTTGTGGCGGTGGTCCTAAGGCCTTGAGGTCCAAAAAGACTCACTTGAAGCGGAGTGCCGTAGTCCCTGGAAACATGGCTTTGGGCAAGTCCCTCATCTCTTGTGCATAAAAGGAGACTTAGAGCACCTTCCTGGCACAGTTGTGAGACATCAGATAGTACCAATTCTGGCTCATCACTGTGTCCAAGCAGGCTGACAACAGGGCGGGCCCAGGAGTGGGGGTGGGGTTCTGAATTTGGAAGGAGAAGAATTTTTTCGGAGAGAGAATTGATGAAGGAAGAGAAGGTTGTCAGTGACCTCAGTGGGACCTGGAGCCATAGTTTGCTAGAAGCGAGGGCTTGTGGCAGCTTAAACCCCCTCTACACGAGAACCATGAACCTGTTGCCTCCTGTAAAGCTTTGCAGCTTCAGAAACTCAAGGGTCAGCAAGCCCTCTGCTAGGGGAATGGCAACGGGTGGCAGGATTCTCCTCTCCCCCTGTGTGATGACAGGCGAGCGGCTTGGCTGCCCACAGGGCACCTGCTGGGTGACAGGCACTTCACAGCTCTGTCTCATCACGCCAGCGATGGCCGAGAATTCTGCTGTTCACTGAAAGGCCGGTGGTTCAAACCCACCCAGTGGGAGAAAGACCTGCCTGTAAAGATTCCCCCAAACAACCAGACAAACCCAGTATCTTATTCCTGCCCGTAAAGATACAGCCTTGAAAGTCCTATGGGACCGTTTTCTGTCTCTGGGGGCGAGGTCGATGAAATCAACTGGCTGGCTCCTGACACCAAGAAGAGCCAGGCTCTGAGGACACTGCCTGAGGGTGCCTGGCCAGGAGGTGCCCCAGGCCACCCCTCCCCTTGGATCCAGGAGCCAGGGACCAAGAGGCCTGTGTGTGCACGGTGTCCTAGGTCCCCCTGGCTGCTGGAGTTCCCTCTTGGCTTCCGCCCTTCCTCGATGCAGATTGGGCTGTGAGCGTGCACCCCAGACTGTGGGGTGTGTGGTTGTGGGCCTGAGAGGTATGGCAGTAACTTCTACCCACTGCCCGTGATTGGGTGCTGACTTACAGTGACAGTCTTTACCAAAAGGACAATGAGGAACTTCCAGGTCTTCAAGTCAGGCTGTTTCTGAAAAGCCGCTGAGCGCTGGGGACAGGAGGAGGCAGCCAGTCTCCATCCATAGGCATTGGAGCCATGGGTTCCAACGCACGAGGGTCCCATGGGTTAGAGGAGGCTGCAGCCCTCAGGACTTTTCCACTCAGACCTCCAGGACTTTCTTCCGCAGCACTGCTGGGGGTGGGGGTGGTGTAGTTAGCGGGGTTGTTAGGTTCCACGGAGTAAACCGCCCCGACAGGGCTTGCTAGGCTGGGGTTTTCACAGAAGCTGATCCAACTGTTGACCTTTTGACTATCAGCTGAGCACTCCCCAGGGCCCCTCTTAGGCTAGTAACGGAGCCCTAGCCCATGGCTGCCCTGAAAACCAAAATACAACTCCAGCTCCTTGCTGTCCGGTGAATGCCCACTCATCGCGACCCTCCAGGACAGGGTGGAGCTGCCCCTGTGGATATCAGAGACGGTACTTACAGGAACCGGGAGCCCCATCTTTCTGCCAAGGAACAGCTGGTGGTTTCAGACAGCTAGCTCCCCTTGTGGTTAGCAGCCCCACACATCACTGCTCCACCCCCAGGGCTCCCTGCTGCCCACAGTGTCCCTTCAGGCCAGGCCCCGCCCTCCTCCAGAGCCTCTGCAAAGGAGCCTCTTTGCAGAATAAGACACTGGCCCCTGGGAGGCTGTGGGCCTTCTGCTCCAGCCCAGTCATCGCAGGGTCCTTGAGTCTTCGTGGTCTGCTCACCATGACTTTGGTGGCCCGTGTGTGGTAACTCTCTCTTCAAGCAGGCCTGCACAGACCCGGTCCTCCGTTCTCTCCCTGTCGGCAGGGGGATCCCTGCCAGCCAGCTGACTGCCAACCGCCAGGAGGGAGGGGTGGGCCAGTAGATGCCCAAACTGGGCAACTCACCAACCTGTTGGCAAGGCCACCCAGAGGTTTAGAGGAGAGAAAGTGGGCCAAGTGGAGACACCTGGTTAATTGGCTGGTGTTGCTTTCTTGGCTGGGCAGAAGAGAACACTGCCTGGCACAAGGCAGCGCACTGGGCCAAGGTCAGTGCCGAGGCTTCTGCCTTGTTCCTTCCCCATACGCCCCTGGGCCGTGATAATGTCAGTGGTCTCGAAGGAAGACCTGGGTCTTTAGGCCGATTCACAGCTCAGTGCATCTGTTTCTCCAGGGGGCCAACAGGCAGGGTGAGATTTTGAAAGATTCAGGCTTGAAACCCAGCACCAGCCTTACTAGTTTGAATAAGCAATTTCCCCTCCCCAAGCCTCAGTGTCCTCCTCTAGAAAATAGACTTGTTGTTGATTTCGTTTCCTTCAAGTTGGGGCTCAGTGGTTACATGCTGGGCATAAGGTCAACAGTTCGAAACCATCAGCCACTCTGAGGGGGAAAGGCGGGGCTTTCTACTCCCGTAAAGAGTCACCATCTCAGAAACTCTCAAGAGCCAACCTGCCCTATACTAGAGGGTCGCTATGTATGGGTCAGCAAGGACTTGATGGCAGTGATTTTGTTTTTTGAGTTTTTAAGGTCCCCAACCCCACATCTATAAAATAGACTTAGTTAGCTGGCATCAAGGTGGGGCCAACTCATGGCCTCCTGACAGAGCATAGGACACAACATTGGCTGGTCCTGCACCAGCTTCAACATTATTGGCCTGGTTCCTCCCATGGCCCCACTTATTGTGCAGTGCCCGCCGTCCCTCCAAGGGGGTTTGTCTCCCTGGGCTCCATCAGCAAATGCTCCAGTGTGCTCCGCAGCACCGTCCCTGGCTCGCCTTCAGAGGCAGACCACTGAGCCTTCCTCCCTCACCTGTCATCCTCCGGAAGCTCTGGGGGAAGCTGTATGTGAAATGTTAGAGGCAGAGCGTCCAGCATGGCCACAGCAAGCCAAGCCACTGTCATTGGACCAGCTGACCGATGGCTGGTAGAAAATATGGTGAGTGATCGCCAACTCTCACGGACGGCTTTCCATGAGAAAGGATATAAACTTTGCATCAGCCTCTCCCTCTACAGGTGTTTGATAAACAAGACTCGATACTTTTTGCCATCCCCACAGTTATGCCCACCATCCACCTCCCGCAGCGGCAACAGCAGGACTCCCGCTGATGCCTCCACCCATGAGTTCAGGTGCCAGAGCAGCCCTCTCCGAATGCAGATGGAGAAGGGCAGAGATTGGAAGCAAAACAGGAGGTGGGAAGAAAGGTTGACATGGGGCCATTCCCAAGAAGGGCCGCCTGGCATAGAGTGGGGGCACAGGGGGTGGGGGGGTTGTGCCAGCCTCTGAGTAGTTCGTATTGCTGGTCCAGATCGCCGGTCCCAGAATCCCCTTGGCCCCCCCTCTTCCATCTCATTCAGACCACGATTGTCCTTCACCTGAAGTGGAATGGTCTGGAATGGGCAGGGTGTGGGCTCTCGAGCCAGGCAGACCTGGGCCCATGGCCTCCATCCATCCTCACTAAGCAGCTGGGAGAACTTTGTCAAGGCAATGGATTTCTCTATGCTGAAGATCTCTCCTGTGGCCTCTGGGAGGTTTTCCAGGCAGACACAGGGACTGGCCGGAGCAGACCCCTGCTTGAGACACCGGAGGAGTTCCCTTCCCCCTAGGGCAGTGGTTCTCAACTTCCTCATGCCACGACCCTTTCATACAGTTCCTCACGTTGTAGTGAACCCCCAACCATAAAATTATTTTCGTTGCTACTTTATCACTGTCATTTTGCTACTGTTATGAATCAGGTGACCCCTCTGAAAGGGTCATTCAACTCCCAAAGGGATCGCGACCCACAGGTTGGGAACCACTGCTCTAGTGTCACCCTGCCTGCCCACCCCATCTCCAGCTGCAGACTGGACAGGCCTCAGCCTCGGGGCCAGCACTTCACTCTTGGACCCTAAGTGCCCTGGGCTCTCTGAGGGGAAGACCTAGGAAGAGCAGGGAGAGGAAGAGTGTGAGTTGCTGCCTGTGTGTGAAGTGTGATGCTAGGGACCTGTCACCTCACCGCAGCTCACCACTGCCCCCTGAAGCCTCAGTGGCTGCCTCTGTAAAATGGGGAAATGACATCTTTGCCTCTTAGGGTGATTGAGGACCAAGTGAAGCTGAGTGCCGCCCAGTAAGTGTGAGCTGCTGGTATCTGATGTGACTGTCTCTGGTGGTGTGACCAGTCACTATTTCCCGGTTCAGCATTGTCCTGGTGTGGGCAGGACAGAGAGCTCTGGTGTCTAAGGTCAAAGGCCATAGGCGGGAGGGGTTAGGATATGCCCTGGCCACCTCTGGGTGGCAGTTTGCTGGGGTCATGCTCACAGCCTGGGCCTATATGGCCTGAGTTGGAACGTCACCCCTGGTCTCTGGGACGCAGATGTTTCTAGTCAACAGTGAAGTCTCCCAAGGCTGAGTGACTGCTGGCCCTGCCCTGGGGGCTTACCTGTCCCCCTCCCCAAGTTCCTTTCATGTTCTGTGGCACCTTCCCCAGTCAGAAACAGGACCTCCGGGTGCCACCTTCAGCCGGACCTTCAACCTGGTGTTGAGCTTGATGAGTCAGAAGATCTGAATGGGAACTTTGCTGCCACCCCTCATCCCAGCTATGCAAACACTAGGGAGGAGATGCACCCTGCTCCCTGTTAGCTGGTCTTGTCACAACACACTGCATCTTTTTGAGACTTGAGACCGATGAGCTGATGGCTCGGGAATCCCCCTCTGGCCTTAAAAAAAATCAGTTAAGCTGTAGGCCCCAAGATTGGAGGTTCAAACCCACCCAGGATCTCCGCAGAAGACAGAGCTGGTGATCTCCCTCAGAAAGGCCTGGGAACCCCCACGCCACCCCCCGGCTGCCCTGCTCTGTGAGTGTTGGACGGCCTCAAGTTGGCAGTAACTGGGTGGCACCCAACCACCCCAGCAAACACAGGAGCTCAGTCAGGGGGGGCTTTGGGCACGCATCTTCTTCTCTGGAAGGGATTTCTCTGCTGTCGAAGGAGGGGAGATGCTCCTTCTCCTGAGTAGTGACCCGGGAGAGAAAAGCCCACGGTGAAGACATTTGGTAAATAAATGAAAAGTTTTCCTCACCGAGCTTCAGAAGAGTCAATGGCAGGGGGATGCCTGCAGGAAACCAGCCTACTTCATGTTTCTTCTCTCAGATTTTGCCGAACGAATTTAATCATCAAATCTCATTATTCCGATAATGGTCGTGGTCATGACCGCTGTGACGACAACTGTCATTACCCTTGTGGTCCTTCCTCAATCGCTCTGGGTCAGAGCACCCTGGGTGAGCAGCTGGGCGAGGTCCTCACAGCTCTTGCAGGCGAGGACCCAAGCACGCCGGGAGGCAGGCTGGAGGCTGAGCGGGGCGAGGGGTGACGTCCTGTCTCTGTGTCCCCAGGTGCCTTCCTGATCCCGTACACCCTGTTCCTCATCATTGCCGGCATGCCCCTCTTCTACATGGAGCTGGCCCTGGGCCAGTACAACCGGGAAGGGGCAGCCACAGTGTGGAAGATCTGCCCACTCTTCAAAGGTAAAGGCCTGGGAGGCGAGGGCGTTCTGAAGGTCCCCTGCACACACACACACACACACACACACACACACACACACACACTCGCAGACTGGCATTCTTAGGGGATTCTTGGGGCCTTTGGCAAGGAAGCCAGGAGCAGCCACCATTCCACGGTGGGTGGAGACCGGAGGCTTGCCAGGAACCTGGGTTCCAACAGCGGAGTGGATGGACGGCATCTGGTCTTCTCGGTGGGAAATACCTCCAGAAGTATCCGAAGTGCACTGCACCTGGATGTAAACACCAATACCTGTGCTGTGCACCCCTGATACTTCTAGAGTGTCGTTATAGGTTTCAGGTTTCACGACAGGTTTGATTTAAGCTGCCTGCCCATCTATCAACTGCTCTCGGTGGCTCTTGGGGAAGCAGTACTCAGGCCATGCCTGGGTCCCATGCCTGCAGCTCCATCAGGGAAGTGGGAGATTGAGTCTCACCTAACACCTTTAATTCCGGAAAGGTTATTCCTAAAGGAGTCCCTGGAGAGTGCAAATACTTAACACACCCGAAAGGCTGCAGGTTCAAGTCTCCCTGGATGAACCTCACAAGAAAGGCCTGGAGATCTAGTTTCCAAAAGCCCATGCACAGTAAAACCCTGTGGAACAAAGTTCTACTCCGACGGACATGGAGTGGCAAAAAGAACCAACTCCATGACAACATTTTTTTTTAAAGGTTGAATCATGTAGTGGTTGGACCCAACTCCCCGGGAGAGGAAGCTTGGGGCTGGGCCCCGGGGGTTCCCCTGACTGACCCTCTCTGTGTCCCCTGCAGGAGTCGGCTATGCTGTGATCCTCATTGCCCTCTACGTTGGCTTCTACTACAACGTCATCATCGCCTGGTCACTCTACTACCTCTTCTCCTCCTTCACCTTGCACCTGCCCTGGACGGACTGTGGCCACGCCTGGAACAGCGCCAACTGCACCGACCCCAAGCTCCTCAATGGCTCCGTGCTGGGGAACCACACCAAGTACTCCAAGTACAAGTTCACACCAGCAGCAGAGTTCTACGAGTGAGTCAGGGGGCCCCCACCCTCACCTGGTCCTTGAGGTCAGTGGTTCTGGGAGAGACCTGGGCCAGAAACTGGAAAACTCCGGAGAGGAGGGGACCCCAGCAGCCACAGCGTGTCATGTTTGCTGAGCAGCTACCCGAGGTCCAACCCAGGTCACAATACTTACAACTTGGTTATGTGAGATGGTGGCATTAAGGAAAGCTAGAAGGGTATTCAGAGACGGGCTGAGAAGGGTGGACAAGTTAGATTGAGAAGTTTATGTTCTGGGGCAGGAGGGTGGGAGCTGCCAGGGTGTGGATCAGGGTGGGGAGGCTGTTAGCAAGTACATTTTGACTCATCGTGACCCCATGTGACAGAGTGGACCTGCCTCCCAGCGTTCTCTGGGATGTTACCTGAGTGGAAACCCATCTCTGGGTCTTTCTCTGGCAGGGATGCCGGCTGGGTTCAAAGTGCCCAACCTTTCAGTTATCAGCTGAGCACATAGCCATTGTGCCACCAGGGCAACAGGTGAGTCTTCTGAAGGATCTAAAACCAGGATGTGGTAGAAATTGCTTGCAGGAGTCTATCTTGTGCTCTAGTACCGCTACACGAGAAATGCCGCACGTGGATGTCTTTGATAGATAGAAAGTTATTTTCTCATCATTTCGGAGTCTAGAAGTTTGAATTCTGGTATTGGCTATCTGCTCTGGGTTCTGGGGAAGGCTTCTCTGCCCTGGACTTCTACTCTACCTGTCACGCCCACTAGGATGGCAATTGCTCTTAGACTTTGGGCAGCCCCATTTTCCTAGTCCAACTAAGTAGCTACCCCACCTCCTTGGCCTTAGCGGATCCCATTCATCTGGCCTTCGCCATGGCAGCCATGCCTCCCCAGTGTGGGCTTTGGATCTGGGCCTGACACTCACAAACAGCAGCCCCATACTCCTGAGTGGAGTTGGTGAAGATTTCACCCTCCGAACCCCCTGATGTCATGGTCCCACCCTTTGGGAGCTGGAGGCCATAGGCCTATCCTTTGAGACAGGCAGCTCTGCTTCCTCTGTTGGTGTCCCTTCGGTTCCTGATTCCTTAGCTTCTTGGCCTCTGAGATGTCTTTTGGTGGTCTCACCCTCTGTTCTTCTCAGGCAAATATTACAGAGCTCATTCGCCACAAGGCACCCTACTTTATCGGAAATCCTCAGCCCTCAGAGTGCTTCTCTGGCTCTGTGAGTCAACTCGCGTGTAGGCTTGCATGGTTTTTGCCATCACGGTTTCTCTGCCCCTGCTTTTTGTCATCTGAAACCATCTCCGTTGCAGCTGTCCTCGCTTCCTTTTGGACCGTCACCGGGATTGCTTTGGTGACCAGAAAAGCCCAACAACTGTCTCTTCAAGGCAATCTAGGGTCTTACTGTTAGGCGCCTTAAAACTCTTCCAGCCTCTCTCTGTCTATTACTCAATTCCAAGTTTTGTTCAAGTCCTTGAACAAAAGCTTTCACACCTTGTGTGCCTGTTAGAGAAACACCCGACTCATGATACCAAATTCCACTTGGCGAGTGGCTTTCACAGACAGAACCTTTTTCTTTCACAGTTATCGAGGCCAAACACTGAATCAGGGCACCAGCTCTAGGGAAAGATCCTCTTTCTGTTGGCTCATAGCTCGAGGGGTAAGTCCTGTCTCTTTCCAGCATCTGCAGGCCTGATAGTTCCTTGGCGATCCCATGCGTCTTGGCATCAGTCCTCCCCTGGCTTTAGGAGGTTCTCAGAGCAGTGATCCAAAGGTGCTCCACTCCCAGCTTTTATTTCTTGGTGATAGTTAGCCCATCCTTTTCTGTTCAGTTCTCTCTTTGCGAATGTGTCAGATTCTGGCCCCACCCCAGGGAAAGTCCCCTTACATCAATTGGATCAGGGCTGTGAGCCAACGAGGGATGTTGTTGTCCACCCTATTCCCTTACAACTGATTGGTTAATCACGTGAGATCCCATCATGGGAGTGATTGCATCATTGCTTCAATCACCAAACCACTGAGAAGTATGGCCCAGCTGAGTTGACACATAGTCTGGGGGTGGGGGGGGCACAGTATAACCCATGATGGGGCAAAAAGAGGCCTCTCTTAGAAGGTGCCATTTGAACTGGCATTTGATACCTAAGTACATGGTGAGATGTGGTCAGCCAGAGAAACACCTCAGGGGTTAGCCAGCAGGCGATGGAGCTACAAGTTGAACCCAGGTCAGTCTTCTGACCACCCCCCCTCCCCCGACACACACTCTTGGCTGTCTCTCTGGGTCTTTTATGGTGGGGGGGAGCAGGGAAGTGGTGACATGCAGGAAGCAGGAAGCAGCCAGCCACGGAGATGGTTTGGACTGTGTGTGCGTGGGAGGGAGGCGCTGGCTGGGGTGGAAGACAAAGCAGCTTCAAGAAACCAACACGCACATGAAAACAAAACCACAATGTTTGATCTGGAAATCACTGTGGACGTAGGAAAGTTGCAAAATGCAGACCCAGGGCGTCACCTAGCTTCCTTCCACGGAACAGAAGACCAAGCCTCTGCCGTTGAGGCCGCTCTGACTCGTGATGGCTCCCCGTGCTGCAGAGAAGACGTGCTTCACCGGGCTTTCTTGGCTGTGCTCTGCTCAGAAGCAGACCGCCAGGCCTTTCTTCCATGGCACTGCTGCGTGGGTTTGCACTCCAGCCTTTAGGTCAGTAACAAACAGAGAACGAAAACAACCACAGAAACCGTGGTTGCCAAGGTGATTCCAACTCATAGCAGCCTGATCAAAAAGCATAGACCTGCCCATAGGCTTCCCACGGCTGTAACGTTTAGGGAAGCAGACTTACATCTCTCTCCCTTGGAGCAGCTGGGAGGATTGAACTGCTGACCTTTCAGTTAGCAGCCAGCCTCTTAATCCTGGTGCCACCGTGGATCCTTGAGTTAGGAATAAAGTGCAAGCTATATGACCCTCCAAAGGATTCGAAGGACCGCTCTCACTTCAGTGAGCACCGATCGGAGTGAGGCACCGTTACAGTCCTCCTCTCTATCTATCACAGTAGTAACCGCCAATCACTCACCGTGGGCCTCAGGCTTTCTGCTCCCTTCTTTGGATGCATTCTCCCGATGGAAGCCTCACTCCAACCCGAGGCAGTTTCTGTAACTTTCCCCCGGCTGCCCAGATGAGGAGGCTGTAAGTTTTAGCTGCTCGGTATAGAACTGGTCCTACCAGGTGATGACGCTTCAGAGCCTACACCTCAGCCTCTGGGCTGTATTGGGTTCTGCAATCGTGTTGTTGTTGGTGGGGACCGTGGACCTTTTCGACTCATGGCCACCTCGTGTGACACAGCAGGACAGCCCGCTGGGGGTTCTAGGCTGTCATCACGGTAGAAGCAGATGGCTGTTCTTTCTCCCAGTTCTAACTGCCAACCTTTCGGACAGCAGCCGAGTGTTTTGCTGTTGTGCCACCACGGTGCATCTGTAGCAGTTTACAGTGGATATAATTATTAAAAAATTTTTATAGAATTCAAAGAAACATCGATCCCACTTCAGTCATGTCCCAGCCACTATGCAAAACCCCTTCCGTGTGCTTTCTTTGAATCCTGATCACTGCTCTATGAGCTTTGTCCTATGAGGGAATGTGGTGAAGTGGCCTATCCCAAGGCCTCCAGACCGGAGGCGGCATCAACGTGGGTTAGAAGGCAGGCTGTCTGGATCCGAGGCCCAATCTCTTAGTCTTGTGTTTCTAAACCTTTGCTGCTCTCTGGAATCACCTAGAGAGCTTCAAAACACAGCCAGGGATGCCTGGACGCTGTGCCCAAGGATGCGGGTTTCACTGGTCTGCACGCAGAAAGGGCATACAGGTTTTTAAGGGTCTTTGGTGATTGGACTGGCCATCTCAGGTTCAGAGCCACTGTCTTAGCCACTGAGCTCTTCAGCCCCTGGCAGAGCAAGATTCCTGCTCGGGCCATTTTGATAGCACTGCCGTGTCATGTCATGGAAGATTTAGAGCTCTCTTGCCTCCATTCCTGAGGAGAGTGGCTCAGAAAATTCTAGAATCTTTGGAGAGGTTGTGGTGGAGTGTGCAGGCCGTGGGCCTTCCCGTTTGGCGAGCGGTGTTCCATCAGAACTTGTAAAGCAGCAGTTCTCAGCCTGTTGGTCGTGACCCCTTTGGGGGTCAAACAACCCTTTCACAGGGGTTGCCCAATTCATAACAGTAGCAAAATGACAGTTCTGAAATAGCAACAAAAATAATTTTGTGGTTGGGGGTCACCACCACATGAGGTACTGCACGAAAGGGTCGCGGCATGAGGAAGGTTGAGAACTGCTTCTGTAAAGGATTGTGGGGCAAAGGCTGTTGCTGAGACACACATTCCCTTGCCTGCCTTCACCCTGAGTTTCTTGTAGAGGAACAAACATCATTTTTCTGTTTGCTTTTGGCAGCCCTTGCCTGTATAAATTAAATGGAAAACGATCGTCTCCTTCTAGGCTGAGTTATTATTTTATTCCACCTCTGACGTCTTAATGTCTTAATGCCCCTGCCAAGAGACCCAGCAGGAGGGCGATGCGATGGGGGTTTGGAAACCCAGGTTACTTTTCATGACAGGCACCAAGCTTTTCCAGGCCCGGCGTTGGGGAGAATGTGCCAGAAGAAGAGAGCGCTCCGGTAGGCAGGACTGCAAAGCTTGGGCATGTCATGAGGAGCAGAGCCCAGAGCTTTTTCTAGAGTTTTCCTTCCCCCCTCTCCTTCTCTTCCCTTTAGCACCCCCACACACACCCCCAAACACGCACGCATATACACACACACACGCACACGCACCAGCTTCCTGGCCCGCAGAACCCAACATTGTGCATCTCTGCACAGCCAAGCCCCACTCAGTCCCATGGCTCATGGGAGGAAGGGTTATTTTCATTTACAGAGAACCTCGCCGAGCTGGGCTCGGAAGCCAGGTGGCTGACTCAAGGCTCACCGCCCAGGCCTGTGTCCTGTCTGATCCCCACTGGGGTGTGTTCAGGTTCGGAGAGTAGGGTCCTGCCGGTGGATAGGAACCCTTCTCGGGCTTCCCTCTGACCTCCGTGTCCAGAGGGGTCATAGGCTGGCACTGGGGGGTGGTTGGTTGGTTGGTTTAATGGTGCCTGCCTGGCCCCTTTCCTCCAGATGTTTCTGCTTGGAAACAGTCACCCACCCGCCACTGTGGACCCACCCACTGGGACCCCTCGGGACACCAGCTCTGAAGAGCTCTCTCTCTTCCCTCTGAGCCTCCTGGCCAATTGTGTTCCCATCTTGTATTCATTTAACCTGATGGACTGAACATCTCTTTGGAAGGAACAAATCCACGATTCTACCCAAGCTCTGGGCTGGGGGCCAAACAGCCCGCAGCTGATCCTGTGCCTGCAACTGCATTTGCGAAAGGGCATCCCTTGGCGAGCGTTGCAGTGGTGATAGGGAAGTTCTACCCCAGACCGGTGCCCAGTGAGGGGGAGAAGCCTCCACGCCCCCACCCCGGGCCCCCATTCTAACCTTCTTGGGGGACGCTTGGACCGTATGCTTAACCATGCTTTATTCTCACTAAACTGCGGGAAACACGGAAACAAACCCAAGTGATGAACGGACTTCCAAAATTTTGTAGACAAATTCCATGATCTTTAATTCCATTTCTCCATGGCTTTTCTGAAGACACCCCCTTGAACTTGTGCCTTGAACCCCCAAGGCCTGGGCCTGCTGGGGAGAGCAGCACGATTGTCCTTCCTTTCCTGGCCCACTCGCTCAGGGATCTGGCTCTTGTCGTGGACAGAAGCGCTACACCAGCCCTGCTACATTGACATGCACTGTAAAGTGATGTGCGTGTGGCGTCGGGGACCTGGGATGGGTACTTGGACCGTCTGACTGGGCTTAAGAGCCATTTTAGACTGTTTCCAGGCAAACAGTTGATTCAGGACCTTTTCTTTTCTCCCCACTGTTTCAAGACCCCTAGTGAGAGAGAAAGACAGGGATAGCCGTGGACATGGTTCCAGGGGCTCTTCTGAGTCGGCATGAACTCAATGGCAGTGAGTTTGACTTTGAGTGGGTCGTGGCTACACGTCGGTCTGCTCATTACAAGGTCAGCAGTTTGAAACTATCAGCTACTCCTTGAGAGAAAGACGAGGCTTTCCATTCCCCAACACCCACAGGGTCGGTTTGACCTTGTCCTATAAAGTCGCTATCTGGTGAGATGACCTTGAGAGCACTGAGTGAGATTGAGCAGCCACCCAACACTGAGCTTCTCAAACATCACGAAGAAGCAGAGTTCAGTGCCTGGGCATTCCATACCTGCCTCTGCTTCTCTGCCTTTTCCACCCATGCCCACCGACTACCACACTCTCCTCTTCTCTCTTGCTGCGAGAACCTACCAGACAGACGCTGGTGTTTTAGATGACTCTGCTGAGACCGTTGTTACTGTTGGTTGCTCTTGAGCTGCGTCTGAACCACGATGCATGTTTGAAATACAGGACAAAACATGGCCAGGTCCTCTGTCAGTGTCATGATCTTGGTATGTTGGAGCCCAGTCTTGTGCCCACCCATCTCATGACGACTAACATCCACTGTCGTCCAGTCAGTGCCAGTTCATACCCAGCCTCGAAAGAGTTTCTGAGGCTTTGTAAATCTTAACAGAAACAGACGGCTAGTGGGTTTGAACCACTGTCCTTGTGGTTCACAGTCTAGCGCTTAACCCCACAATGCCACCAGGGCTCCTTCACTGAGACTCCGAACCAAACCAACTCGTGGCCACTGAGTCAATGCTGACTCATAGCGACTCTATAGGACAGAGTAGGACTGTCCCCGTGGGTTTTCAGAGACCGTAACTCTTTACGGGAGGACAAAGCCTCCTCTTTCTCCTTTTTGTGGAATGGCTGGTGGTTTTGAACTGCTGACTCTGCGGTCAGCAGCCCAATTTGTAACCACCAGGCCACCAGGGCTTGGAGACTATAAGGGTGAATATCATTTGCCAGGCAGACAAATCGGGCCAGGAAATGTGTTCCAGGCTGCAGGACGAGACAGAGCAATTAGAGCCCTGAGTGCCCGGGAATGCCAAGTGGCCTGCTGGTATTAGGAGCAAAAGGCTGGAGGGTATGATGAGTCAGAAGAGGACCTGGCACAACCCGCTGGGGTGTGAAAAGGCCCCAGATTCTGAAATGCTAACATTTTACCCTTGCCACGCCATCAGCATTTCTCACCCTCAAACTTGACACGATTCAACTTTGGGGCTGGTTAATGCATTCCCCTTTGTTGGGAATGCCATGAAGGGCATGCCCTGTGTTCAGAGGTACCCATAGCCTCTGCTCACTAGAAACCAGCAGCCTGAAACTGGGACAGCCCCAACTGTCCCCAGCCCAAGAATTCAGACAGTGGAAATAACCCCCTGGGGTCCTGGCAGAATCCCCACTTCAGGTGAGAAGCACTGTTTGGGGTGATTGGAAGTCCCTGAGGAGTTGTGGGGCAGGAGAGTGACAAGGTTAGAGTGACACCTCAGAAGGACAAAGGGCAACCCCAAACACAAACCAACCCTGCTGCCGTCCAGTTGAGACAAACCCAGACAGACCCCAGAGGACAGGGTGGAAGTCCCCCAGGGGGTTCCTGGGCTGTGATCTTTAGGGAGACAGACTGTCACATTGTTCTCCTTCCAAGGGACTGGTGGGTTCAAACCATCCACCTTTGGGTTGGCAGCCGAGCACTTAGCCACGGCACCACCAGGGGTCTTTTATGGCAACACAGATATTGACCAACATCCTCTAGCTTCAGACTGAGGATGGAGACCACTACCTCCCAGAATCAAGCATGCCGTTATGCGAAATCAGTTCTGAGAACTTAAAAAAGGGCCAGGTGTCTCCCCAGGTGTCCGGCCTCTCCTGGAGCAGGGCCCCCTGCGTCACAGCCCACAGGGCCAGCAGTCTGGGGCAGGGAGCCTGGTGGAGGGCACGAGGGGTTACATGATGCTGGGCATTGGGGCCCCAGGGTCCAGCCTGAGAGACCGTGGCTGGGCAGCTCAGCCCCCGTCTCTGGCTGCGCTGGCTCAGGGCCTTGGTGGCCTGACCCCACGTCCCCCCTGTCCCCGTCTGCCAGGCGTGGCGTCCTGCACCTGCATGAGAGTGACGGGCTCCACAACATCGGCCCGCCACAGTGGCAGCTCCTGATCTGCCTCCTGGTCGTCGTCGTCGTCCTGTTTTTCAGCCTCTGGAAAGGAGTGAAGACATCAGGAAAGGTAATATCCCTTCTTTGTCTTTCAGTCAGAGGTTTGTTTAAAAAAAACATGTGTTGTTGTTTTTTCTATTTAGAGCCTTGTAGTAGACGAAAGGTCACTGGGAGAGCTGGGCGCACTACATCTGGGCGGAACCCCAGTCGCACGGCTGCCTTGCTGGGTGATCTCACTGTCCCCCACCCCCGGAGTTGGTTTTCTAGTGCGGCCGTGGCCAAACAGTACACACTGAATCCTGTCACCTCACAGACCCGTGGAGGCTGGCAGACGGGGCTCAAAGTGTTGGCCGTGGAGACTTCTGCTGGGGCTTTGAGGGAGAGTGGCTGGGTTCTTGGGGTTTCTGGGAGTTCCCAATGAGTCCCGCTCCTTGCAGCAGCAGCACCATGGGCATCCTTCCCCGGCTCGCTGTCCCTCTGCCTCTTCCCCTCCTTTGTAAGGGCACCACTCAGGTTGGATCAGCATCCAGCCCAACTCTGATACAGCCTCGTGCTCATCTAACTATCATCTTCTAAGGCCCATTTCCAAACAAAGTCATGTTTGCAGGACCCGAGGGCGGGGCTTTAACACATCTTTTGGGGGGCACACAACTCCCTCTCTAAGTCTCCCCATCAGGGGCTCAAGTAGATCCCCAGGATCACTGCTATCAGTGGATTCTGACTCCTTGTGACCCTATAGGACAGAGTAGAACTGTCCCTGTGGGTTTCTGATCTGTAACTCTCTATGGGAGTAGACAGCCTCCTCTTTCTCCCTCTACATGGCTGGGGGTTTTGAACCGCTGACCTTGCAGTTAGCAGCAAGACATGTAACCCATGACTTTTCCACCAAGGCTTCCCCGAATCAGAGAATGGGAAACCCCAAGGACAATAAGGAAAAGTCTTATGCGGCACCCCGGGGAGAGAATCACAGGCTTAGATGACCCAAGAGGACCCGGCTAGAGTTGGCATTCTGGGCCTGGGTGACAGGATCCCCTGTAGTACGCCCATCAGGGTGGGGTGTATTCAGAGGTGGTATATACACAGGTGATAGCTCATGTTGATTCTTAGCCTGAGGAATATCGTGGGAACAGCCCCATGTGGACCCTGTGTAATCCACGGAAGCCAGATGTTCTTTCCCAGTGTTGTGGTTAGCTATTGCTGTGTAACAAACCACCCCTAAATGTATTGTTTTAAACCAACAACCATTTTATCATCACTCATAATCCTTTGAGTTGACTGGGATCATCTGGATGGTTCTGCTCCCTGGGAAATGTCTGAGATGGCACATACTCTATGTGCAGTGTCCAAGAAGGTCCAACACTGGCTGTACTGGCTGCCGGCTAGACGCTAAGATAGAGTTACCAACCAGAGTATGCTGGTTATTTTGTACACAGTCGCTCCTTGCGGGACTTCTCACGGCATGGCAGCTGGATTTCTAGAACATATTCCAAGCAGACAAGCCTCAATGTGCAAGAAGCTTATCTAGTTTGTGCTTGCATCATGCTTGCTATTGTCCCAATGGCCAAAACAAGTCTTGTGGTAAAGTCAGTATGGGAGGGAGGTACACAGGAGGTGAGTTTATTGGGGTCACCAAGGCAACAGTCTACCATAGCCAAGTAGGCATGAATTTGGGAAAAGCTTCACTAGGCAACTGATTCTGGAAGGGGAATGTATCTAGTCTTCCCAGAATTCTTGGTCACATTCACTGAGAGTGGAGATGGTGGCAAGGGCCCAGCAGCCAGTGGGAAGAAATTAGTGGAGAAGTTGAGGTGGAGTATCTTATCAGCATGTTGGGGGACAGGGGTGGGGACACATTATCTGCCTCAAGAAGGGATTCACTTACAGTGCAAAGGAAGGCTGAAGGCAGTCTGGAATAGAGCAACACCAGCTAGGACTGACGCTGTCTAGTGCCTGGCACATAGTAGGTCTTTGGTATGTGTTTGCTGTAAGAACAATTAGAAGGGGAATCATTAATTAGGAAGAAAAGGAGAGTGGGTAGGTGAATAGGTTTGGGAACTTCATAGAGTTTGATTCAGCTCAACTTATTTAACATATAGACATTTGTACCTATAGGAGCTTATATAGCACATAGATACACGTACCTGTAGGAGCTTATTTAGCACATAGATACACGTACCTGTAGGAGCTTATTTAGCACATAGATACACGTACCTGTA